ACGAAGGCCCCGTACCTCATTAAGACGTGTAGATGGTGGAAGGAACAACACTATCTCCTCAAATTCGCCGGTGACGCACGCTGCTACACCGAGGCAATCCGCGCATGCGCACCTCTTTGCGCACCCCATCGCTCGTACCCTCCCGCCCGCAATCCAAGTGTACGCCTTCCCACGGTGCCCTCCATCCACGCAGCAGATTGCGCGCACCCTTTTGTGCCGAATATCCGCCCGCGGTAGGTATCACACGCCTGGCACGCTGTGCACACAGCACGACTAAGGCGCTACTGCCTGGTCTGCAACTAGCTGCGCAATCGCACCGAGCCGCTTTTCCCACCGCAATGTGCTGAGTGACACCGCGAGCTCCCGCAAGCCGCAGAAGTTTGCACGATATTGAATGGCCACAACCAGGTACATGTGTTATTGAATCATTTCTTCGTCGCTAACTTAGATTTCTTGACTGCGGCTACACGGCGTAGGGTCCCTTCGTCGCAAGCACCTAGAATAACACCACTGGGAACTATCACGAATCCTAATTACGCTTCGCGACATCGACACGATGGCAGTAGGACACGAAGGAGGCGGGGCTCAAGGGGCTGGGGCTGGCGCAAACGACGGGCTCGGTCTCGAAGCACCGTCATCTGCCATATTACTTTGTGTGTGTATTTTTCTTTGGCATCCTCAGGATCTATACTGTTGATGCTAAATAGATGACATTTTGAAGAAGTAACGTAGTTGCTGTGTTTGTAACTACATTGCCGATGCCATACCAATTGTGCTATTGAGACCGGAATCAGTTTCGATTCTTCCTCCTTCCATCATGCCATCTCAGTATTCTGGGAGGTAAGAGTGAACACACTTAACAATGAGCATATGCTAAACGCTAAAGTAGATCGTAAAATATGTGGCACAAACCACATCTTTCAAGGAACTTTGCATCAAGGAAGGTTTTATTGAGAAACGTCGAGTTATAGGAACAATTATTGGCGTGGACGCCTGGTAAACCTCTTGTCTTCAGAAATATGGACTCATTCACCGGCACAGTCTTTGGTTAACACAACGTCAGGCGGTATTCTATAATCTCCACGCCCAAATGGGCAAGAATCCTGAGCTCAAGGCACTATTCTACAAACCGGCGGCCTTGAGTCAAGCTGGAGTACACGCTGTACCGAAATTGCCGCTTATGTCCATGATGGTTGACTCAATTGCCTTCCGCAAGGCAATTATTTATGAGCGTTCAACCATTGTTGTCGTGGGTAAATTTGTGCATGAGGTCCTCGAAGTATTTTATGCGACAGAAGTGTATCGTAGATACGGAAACTGAACGGCTATTTCCAGGTTCAAAATTATGCTTCATTCTTTTGTCTAAGCTCTACCGTGGGGCATGGGGAAATCTGTGGGGTCTGCAAGCTTGGTTTAGATGGCAGGATGGAGTCCAGGAACGATGGTGTATTGTAAACTAGCTTGCTTTGTACACCGGGATAATTCCTGGGCCCAGCGTTCGTTGTTCGGACCATGCCGTGTAATGCTACCTACCTACCTACCTAAGGTTGGGAAAAATGTGTGAGGTCACAACAGCTGCATTGTTGAGTGTGTGTCGCACCTGTTGTTGAGCAGCAGCCCTATTCTAGTGTTGTAGTGGTTGATCCACAGTCTGAACCTGCATGGGTGAGCACCTGCCAAGAGGCACCCAGTAATGCTCTCGTGGAGCATGAATACCATTACTTCATGGATGAGATTGATAAACAATGGCTGGATACAAACGACGAGCGGGCGAGGAAGGCACTACTGCGCAATCTGACATGATTGAGCCGCCCGACTACCATCCCACAGCTTGACCTCATCAAGTCAAACAAGATGCATGCTATCTGGCAGGGATGGCGCTGCATGAAGGCCAAACGCTTCTGTGCAATTTCCTCCTGCCGCATCGTATACTCGTGATGTAGGAGTGCGGACAGAAAAGACCGATCCTTAGTGGAATTGCGCGAATAGGGTACTGAAATGTCCGCGTCAATTATGCCGGGTATTGGAATTGGAGAAGAACCCATGCGACGGCGTCCACTGTGTTGCCAAATGGAATGAGTGCGAATTCTTTTGGGGGAATTGTTTTCATGTGCTCGAAAGGTGTCCTCTACAGCACGCAAATATAATATAAAATTCACTGGATTGTCCATTCACAATGATGTTAAGCTGCAAATGCCAATTTGGAAGCACCCAGGCATGAAGCGGGAGCTATACCAACATGCTTGTCGCCGAGACAGTGCTATATGTCTGAGATTAAAACATAAGGTACAATTAGTATGCCAGGCTCTAGGAATAGCGGAAAGGTGGGATTCTCGAGTACAGCCTAATACGAACCGCCTCGGAGTTTGAAAATTATGATGACATGTGGTACGCACCTTCCAAAGCTCTCAATGAAGCCGTTCATTTTGCAGATACGAGGTTCGCAACCGTGAGGGGCACGTCAAGGAGCTCCGAGAGACGCTGCAGGCGCGGGAGAACCGCATCGTCGAGCTGATGCAGGAGCGTCAGTATGCGCTCGACAACGTCGCGCGACTTGAAGAGAACATCCGGCGCCGGGACGCGGAGGCGGCGGAGTATTCGCAGCGCACGCTACAGCGCGAGGCCGAGGCCGAGGCGCTGCGCGAGCAGCTCAGCCGGACGAAGCGCGAGCACGCGGGTGCGCTCGAGGCCGTCGCTGCCGCCGCGCAGACCGCCGAGGCGGACAAGCGGGTGCGTGCGACAAACGGGGAGGCGGACGACCTGAAGGACGAGATTGAGCGGTTGCGGCGCCAGATTCACGAGCTGCAGCAGGAGAGCGCGGACAAGGAAGTGAATATTGTGCAAATCACCAAGCAGCGCGCGCAGGACAAGGAGGACCTCAAGGGGCTCAATAGTGCGCTCGATTCGAAGCAGCATGGGCGCATTGAAGCCGATCTGAGAAGGAATTTCCTGACAGCAAGATCCAAAACTGTTGTTCCAAAAAAATAAATATATAATCTTTTTTCAAAAAATGGGTAGGTATCATTACACCGCCGGCCAGAATCACGAACGCTGGTTCCACTGTAGACGGTGTTTGATAGGGTCTGGGACCATGTGCGGGGTCAATTGCGGGGCCGCGGGTTGAGACTGGCGTGCTGCGGGAGGAATTTATGTGCTGCGGGGGCTCCCTGCTGCTCTGGTGGTGCGTTGAGGGCTCGCAATGAAGTCGGTGAGGCTAAGGTCGGAGACCAACTGAGCAGCTCGGGCCTGAAAGCATGCTTCGCGCTGAGCCTGCATCACATTCGGATTGGCACGATGCCAGACAAAGGCGTCATTGTCGATTTTGACATTGCGTTCGTCACGCTCCTCGACTAGACTCGTAACCAGTCTGCCTACGCCGTTCTAACAAGCCGGGCTTGTTGCCGTAGGCAGACTGGTACTTCTCGGATATCCCAATTGGGCTGGGGCGGAGTTTGAAATTTAAGCGACTTTTTCACAATCTTATTCCGTTTACACTCAGTTTTTAAGTTTATTTTTCGGTTGAAGCTGGGGTAATAGATAAAAGAATTATCCCTTTTATTTGGCCTCCTTATATTTCCTCTTTATGGTACAGAACACCGTAAAACCTGAGGATAGTTTTAGTGGAAATCAACTTCGGACCGTGATCTCCGGAATTGCCGCGGCTCATTGCGTCATCGGTCTCACTCAATGAACAACTTAATTTCAAACTCCGCGACAGACCAATTGACATATCCGAGAAGTACCAGTCTGCCTACGGCAACAAGCCCGGCTTGTTAGAATGGCGTAGGCAGACTGGTTACGAGTCTACTCCTCGACAGCGTCGCTGATGTGTTCGACACTGATGTCCTCTACAGCTGTCCTCCCAATTTTTGACACCTGCATCGTTGACGAGGTGGCGAAACTCGACCAGGAGGGTACCGTGTACAAGTGACTTCAGCATCATCTCTTTGTCACCCCCAGCAAGCTCTCCCAAGAGCTTGCGCGTCGCCTCGGCCCAGGCAACATGGGAGAGGACGCTTATGCTGTCCTCATCATTGACGTACTGCCCGAGGGTGCCGTGATCCAGCCAGTTCACCCTGAGCTCTGCAATTATGGTCGCGTTGGTTTGGGCTTCCACTTCTTCTCGAAAGCCGCCATCGGCGCTGGCCAGTCTGCCTTCTCTGTTGCGTCCAGCCCATTCCACCATTCCTCTGTCTACGCTCCCGGGTGCAGGCCCTTCTCGAAGCCGTACATTTTCTCCTTGTCTTCCGCATCATACTTCCACGTCTGCTCAAGGGTGCGCAGCCATGTATAAGTTTTTTTGGCGGTGCCGTTGCCGCGGAAAAGTTCCGTGGTCTTTAGGGCACCTGCTAATACCAGAAAAGCCCTCTTGTTAGACGGGCCATGTCCTCCCTATGGCGCGTCTAACTAGAGTCGATGTAAAGGGATGTCACCCCCTTCGAAAGCCCACGGTTAGCGGGAGGTACAGGGGTGGACAATGTCCCCGCTGCCCCCCGCAGAGCTCACTGGAGGGACATGTCCACCCTCCCCGTCTCCCCGCGGTGGTACATGGGGACATGATGGCTTTGGGAGGTGGGTGGTGGGAGGTATCGGAGGGGAGGGGGACAAAGGCAAGGGGGACACCCTGTCCACCCTCACCGCCTCCCCACCGAGGGTCAAGGGGGACGTAACGACTTGGAGAGGTGGGTGTGAGGTATCGGAGGGGAGGTGGACACAGGCAAGGGGGACCCTGTCCACCCTCACCGCCTCCCCACCGAAGGTCAAAGGGGACATAACAACTTGGAGAGGTGGGTGTGAGGTATCAGAGGGGAGGTGGACACAGGCAAGGGGGACCCTGTCCACCCTCACCGCCTCCCCACCGAAGGTCAAAGGGGACATAATGACTTAGAGAGGTGGGTGTGAGGTATCGGAGGGGAGGTGGACACACACAAGGGTGACGAGTAAGTTACTCCTGAAATATTCCGAAGGGCCTTGGATGCTGGAATGTGGTGGGGCGGAACGGCCCCATGGTGTAGTGTTATGCATTGCTGCAAACGATGATTTGTGTACCTCGTCAACTGGGATGCAGCAGGCGTGGGTTCAAATCCTACTGGGGACATTCACATGTTTGAGAAGAGTTTCTTTTTGTAAAATTGTTACGCAGGTCTGGTGGCGCAGCAGTAGAGTGTGCACCTAAAATAAAACCAGGCTAATGACGGTATATATGCAAGGCGCCGCTTCGACTCTGGCCCAGGCCTTCCTCTTTATGATTCTGATTTTTTGGGTTTTGAATTTTTCACACCGGCACAACAAAAAATAAAATAAAATAAAAAATAAAAAACATGGAGAAGGCAAAGAAATCAAAAAAAGATATCATCCTCAGGCATTGCCAGTCCCCTAGACTCGCGACCAGTTTGTTTCACATGCACTGATCATAAGGGCAAGAAGATCAGTGCTGTGAAATGACTGGAACATCATGTCACGATTTTGGCAGATGCCGCTGAACCTGATTTCGGACTTAGTATTTTCACCTCCCTTTCCACCAGCATTCGGTGCTCTGTAGCTTCAGAACTAAGCCTCCCAAGACCTGAGTTGATGAGAGAAAGTGCCTTTATTTTCAATTCTGGATTGATTAAGCCTGACTTGTTTTTGGGTCAAAATGGAAAACAAGTTGGTCTCGTTCGACTTGAAATCGAAAATTACCCAGCTTTGTCTAAGGAACTTTTGACACTTTTTTCGAACGTACGGAACATCGAAAATCCAAGTCCAAAACCACCTTTCGCAGCATCAGCCAAAACGGCAACAAGAGATTCGCAACGTGATAAGCGCAGCCACGTGAAGAAGCGGTTGGTCACGAGCCTACCAGTCCCCATGTACTGTTTCGCTCAATTCATAAATGCACGTGACTTTTAATTTTTCCGACAAATCTCCTAAATCCGCTAAAATCGAGAAAATATTATTGCAGATAGACTCGCATAGAACTAGACTCCATATCCTTGCAATGACCATCTTGCTCGCTACGTACCAAAGCCCTCTCCCTTACGGCACCTCATCAATCTGGTCCCTCACTTGCTTCCTCTCCACCTGCCCTTCTTCCACTCCAGCTGTTACTTACACTGTACTCAGGGGTTTTCAGAAATCGGGTGTGACGCGTGACATACGAATTGAATGAAACAGTACTGTACCATTTCGTTCAATTCTCATCGGCTGTGACCTGTGACCGCAGCTTTCGAACTTGGGATTTCGTAAATGGTCTGGGGTCGCCGTGACACCGATTTTTTTTCGTAAAGTGCGCGGAAACGAGCAGATCGGGCTCTCAGGGGTTAGAGGAGATTTTCGAATGTGCAAAACATGTCACAAAATTGGCCGAAAATGGCCGAAAAACCCAAATTTCCGCCTAGGCGGCGCGTGTGGTGAACAGCGCCGCGGCGTTCACAAGAAATGCCATTTTTGACGTAAAAGCGTAATTATGGCATCCAATTTTGATCTTATGCCTTCGGGACGGTTTCTCATGGCCCGACGTTTCAGACTTCATTCAGTTCGCAAAGTGCTCAGACAGTGCTGGGGTATTTATTGGGAATGCCTGTGACACGTTCAAAATTTTCGTAAAAAAAGGGCCCTGTGACCTGTGACTTGCGAATTGAACGAAATGGTACAGTACAGTAAGCTGCGTGAACCAGAAACCTACCCACCAGAATACCCAACAAATCCTTTCTTGGTGCGCGTTCTGCTGTCTGCACCTCATTCGGAATCCTCACCGTGTTTTCCGAAACCTATAGACTTTGACGAACATGGAAACCCCGCCAGCTTCGTCACAGCGCCAGCAGTACCGCGCGCGCCAGACTTCGCGCGAGCTTCAGCTTTCACAGGACATGATGGGCCGAGATTTCACACCAAAACACTGGTGCCCGTCCACGCTGCGGGGGAGTGCAGCTGGCGTGCGCTCGAGAAGGCGGATCTTTGGCTTCCTGAGGATGAGGAAGAGGCAAAGAGGAGGAGGCAGCGGGCAATGAAGGGGAAGCGGAAAGAAGCGGCGCAGGTGAACGAGAATGGCGAGGTGCGGGGGGTTCCAGGCATGGGTGAGAAGAACCCCCTCACGTCGTGGATTTGGTATGGCGCAGGGAACACGGAGGGCCGGTGGGAGAGGCGATGCATGAAAGCGTGCGGGTGGAGTGGTCGAAGGCGTACGCACGGGTGAAGCGCTGGCATGAGGAGACGTGCCTCCTGCAGGAGGAAATGGTGCGGTGCCTGCTCACGCTCGATTGGCAGGCAGCTCAGTGGGATCGGCGTGCGATGCCGACGCATTACAACGGCCAGATCCAGTACAGCGCCGTGCATCTGCAAGGCGCGATGGCGCTTGCAGCAAGACAGGCCGCTGTGTGGCGGAAGCTAGCGGGTCGCTTCCGTCGTTCCTGGTGGCGCCTGTTGGATAGGGTTGCGCGACCGCCGATGGCGGACTCTGCGCAGTCGTCTGCCGAGGATGGGGATGAGGACTGGGACAACGAGGAGGAGGGGCCGGCTGCAGAGGCGGTAGACCCAGGCAAGAGCAGGGGGCGCGCCGCGGAGCGCGAGGAAGAGGATGAGGAGGAAGAGGAAGGGGCCGAGGGTGAAGGAGAGGGAGGAGAAGACGCTGAAAGGCGCCGGGCTGAAATGGACGAGCTCTTCGCCATTCAGACCACCTCCCTCGAGCAGTACGACGAGGTGCGTTTTTTCCGCTTTTTGGGTGGCGTGTTTTCTGCCTGACGGCCCGCTTTTTTTGCCCAGCACCGTGCCGGCGTTCCCGCACCGCGGATATGTCCTCTGATGCTTTGAGCGTAGCTCTGGAAGGACTTGATTGGGTTTGAGAGCGTGGATATGGCTTGACCTACTGAGACTTGACTGATACAGCATAACCCAGCGTGCAAGACTATTAAATGAAATTGAGATGACACATGCTGCGAAAGTATTTGAAGCGGCCGGAAATGGAGGATCGTAGACACTCGACAAGACCAGTCTATTTACATTGGGGAATGCAGGCATCTTGGCAGCCCGCAGCACCATGGAACAGTTAAAGGTGCGCTGAGAACATAGGGTTGAGTTGTGCGAAGTCCTTGAAGGCAGCAATGATCCCAGGCATGAACGCGTGATGTATTGGTCGTGCTTGTCTAGTGCCCTTGTGTCTCACCAATTTAATATTAACAACCCGCTAGTATGTTGCAAATCGAAGAATTCTGGTGTGTACAAATCCACGCCGTATCAACGTACCCTTCTCGACGCCGTGAGAAAGAAGTGCCCTTCTAACGACGCCCACACAGCGGGTTTCATGGCCATCAACACTGGTTAGGGCAACCTGCCGGCCACCTTGTTAGTTACCAGCCCCACCTGGGCACACTGAGGAGCACAAAAAAACAGAACCTTGTATACAGTGGGCGGTGCTGTAATGCGTAAGCAAGATGAAACACCGGGCACTAAGCCCGGCGGCTGTCTTTTACACTCCCACTCGCACACAGCCTGAGTCGATACGGGCAATGCCACCCCTGCAAAATGCAGATCACGTGGCACTTCCGCCCCATAGAGGTATGAGCCAGTGGTTGATTTTATATGAGGTGCATCCATTGAGACTCATAATTTGGCAGTGCTTCCAAATCTGGACACCACGGTGATGCCATCAATTTCCCGTCACATTGCCGCTACTCAATGTGTTCGAAAATGTAAAGGAATGCAATAAGGTCACGTGTTTTAAAATGTAAAGCAATGCAATATCATCACGCCTTTCAAAATGTAAGGGAATGCAATAGGGTCACGCCTTTCAAAATGGAAAGGAATTCGATTGGGCAGGGTGAAAGTGACGATTTGACGTTGCACTGACGTTTGACTGACGCAGTGACGTTTCTCAATTGACGCAGATCAGCGCTTGATTGACGCATACCGTCACACCGCCGCAGTGTCACAGTCCAGTCAAACTGTGGGATTTCCGTTAGCAGCATCAAAACGCTGCAGCGACGCCGTACTTCGGACATATTTGCTTTGATTCTCATCCATAAATACTGTCTACGAGTAATTTTATCCAACTGGCCAGTGGTGGCCCCCGAGTACATCTCCTCCGAATCCAGTTCAAAATGCATGATCCCTGTGTTACGACTTGGCGGGACAGTAGGACTACTGAGAAACATCTGTAATATCAGGATTAGAGCTCGGACTTGCGAGAAACCTCATGTTCGGAAACATTGGGCATGCCGTGGAACACGCAATACAAGTCATGCAACAAAATCAACTGATCACCCCACTGATATTTTTTCGTCTAGCACTGTTTCATTGGCCCATCGTCGGAGTTCATTGAGATATGATATGAGAAATTTTTAGCGAAGGTTATGTCATAGTGCAGTTAATTTTGAGGTCGATGTGGCATGCAAAGTATTCCTGAACTGAAAGACAATTTTGGAAATGACTGAGTCCAGGTCTTAACCAACGGGTTTTCCTTGTTATCAGGTCTGACCCGGGATATATTAGAGCAACTTGGCTAAATACACCTGAAGGCCATCTCGGGATGTGCTGGTCAACGTCAATGCAACTGATGCAGCGTGGCTGTGCATTGACGCAGAGCGGCGCACTCATTGACGCTGGGCAGCGCATGCATCACTGAAGTATTGCCACCACCAGTAATGGACTTCTTGGTATGATCGGCATTCACGTTAGATTGAACGAAAAGGAAATCATTTGAAGATGAATTGAACCACCTGCACATCTCGTGGTTTGATTCAGGCAGCGGTGCCAGTCCACGATGCGAATTGCTTGTGCCCCGACGGCTTTGAGGTTTACCTGGCCTTCCAGGCCGTTATAAGACGCGTCTGGCCTATCCATCTCGAAGAGCATCTTGAAGACTATTGTGTAAATAACTCGGTGAAGGTTTCAAACGACGCGTTCCCGTGCTTACCAAGCGCTGCAGAGAATATGTTAGAATAATCGGGCTCAATAATCCCGAACACCATCTGTGGATGCGTCGGTCAACGTGAGTCCGACTGACGCAGGATGGCTGTGCACTGACAGATAGTGGCGCACATTGACGCTGGTCAGCGCACGGATTCGCACGGATTGGTGAAGCACTGCTGCTGCTGCAGGCAATGATGTTTTTTGTATGAT